ACCTTAGTGATTCTGTGATTCTGTGATATTAAGTGAAACCTTTTAGTATTTTTCTCTTGCTCCAAGACAGATTTTCCAGAATAATTTTTCTCAGAAAATAATCTAATTTTTACACTTCTTTGTCAAGGTTTACCCCAGAATTGACACATCCCCAATGGCATTCTTGGTACACAGAGGAAAACTAGGCAAGTAATCTCCTACCTTATCAAGATCATCCTACATTTTCATTGAGCCAGCACAAATTTGTCTTGTTTAATGGAACAGCTCACTACAGCCAAGCTTATGCCTATGTGCAGGAAACGTTAGCAGCGTTCACTGTGATGGTCAAATGTTCCCAGGCCCCAGCCCTAAAATCTGCACAGATAGGCCAGGTTCTTGCTTCTCTACCCTGTGCTGCAAACATGGTTCATCTTGCAAGTGGAAACCCTTCTTGGGAACAAAGGCAAGTTTGGCCTTCACAGTGCTCTTTTCCTTGACCCCTGGGTAGGATGAGATCCAGGGCCACAGCAAGTTAAAAAGGTCCCATAGCTTATGTACCTTCTGCCTTGACTGGATTAGAGTTGGTGTTTCTTTTCTGTGTCTTGCCCAGTTAGGAATAGGAATGGACACACTTCTCCTGCAAGCTTGCTGGCTGACATGTGGGGCAGCCTAGGTAGAAAAGATGTCTTATATTGCACTCACATGCTCTTAAACTACCCCACCTTTCCCATTTGGAAGTGGATGGGAACCAAAGTCCTCTTGGGCACAGACCAAAACATTTCCTCAGACACTGCCAGTTTGCTGCTTGGTATTCCTTGCATGTAGACACACCAGGCTGAGCCAAATTAAGCTAATAACACGTAAAAGGCTGAAGCAGAGAGAGGCAAAAGTTTGGAAGGAAGCAGCTTGGACAATGCTGGTTTCACTGCAGAAGCTTCACATAATTTGCTGGAAAGAGGCCTACTTTGCCCTGGCACTGCCCCCGCCACCATCCTTCATCTACCATCTCGATGTGTGTGATTGTGTCATCAGGATCAAAAGAAATCTCATCATCTCCATCTGCAAAAATGGTTCAGAAAAGATAGTCACAATGCAAAGATAACCCCAGAGAGAGTTGGTTTTACATCCCTTCTCCCACCCCACCCCAGGAGGAGAATATAGAACAAGCATTCTGATAACCCTCAGAGTTCATCTTATCCAATCCCCATCAAACAGCACAGATAAACCAGAGAATGAGCAAGACTTCACAGATGAAAGATGAAACTTCTGTGTTCCCAAGTCAGGTCTCATTCCGCTTTCCAAGAGGAAGAAATTTAAACCACTAAGGCAAAATCTTTTCACCACTGCTGATGGTGTAAAGCCGCCACCTCCCTGGCCAGCTCCCAGTGCCTCTCCCCACAGCCTGGATGGCAGACCCACCTCCTTGGTAATCATAGAGAGCCACTGCACAGGTCCCAGGGCTCTCCACCTCATAAACATTGTCCATTTCCCCTGCAGAAGACAGGACGGGCAGATGAGAAAGAGGCTGAAATCAGCCATATAGATCTGGTCAGTGCCACCCTCCACCCAGCTGTCAGCCTTGGAGTGAACCACATCCAAACCCTATCAACAAGGAGAGGTGTACCTCAAAGCAAGGCATGACTTCCCTCCCCTTCTGCAAAGAGAGACGCTGAGACCTGATGCTTCATGTTCTTCTCCGAAGAAAAAGGCTGGACATAACTCCAGCCTCTCCACTTACCATCTCCAGTACCAGCAAAGCTGCCACAGAAACATCAACAGCATCCCATGCAGTTTGCTTACATGCTTAGAGAAAGTCTACCCTGCACTCCTCACCCAGGAGACACCACCAGATCAGGTCTCATGAGCACCAGCTGTTTGAGCAACAGGCTGAATTAAGAGGGCACCCTCAGGCCTCAGTGCAGCACTGGCAGTCACTTGCCAGGAAAAATGCACCAAGAGCATCAGTCCAGGTCCAGCTTCTTCAGGGCCCACAGCAGCCCTCTGGTCCTCTTGCCTGAGTCCTGCTCCAGCAGAGATACTTGCTGCCTGGCCCAGCATCCCATGCAGCTGATCTTGCACCTTGGAGCTGGGCAAGTGAGTGGGAGACTACCAAGTCTCCATCATCATGGGCTGCTACCCTGACCACAGTAGACTTCAGGATACAAATTCCCTCTGGAGTCTGTCACACATATCCAGTGAGGTGAGCAGACAGATACAAGCTCCCCAAGACATGGGCTTTTCCATCAGTACTCACCCAGGTGGGGCTGGCTCTGGCTGGGCTCCTCAGGAAGGATCTCCTCATAGTCCTCACCTCCATCTCCTCCATGGTCGTAGATGGCATCGAGCTTTCCCAAGGGTGCTGGCAGCTCCTCATAGTCAGCACCTCCATTGGTACTGTCACAGTAGTCAGAGGGCTCTGGCAGCTCCTCATAGTCTCCACTGACATCCAAACTTTCACTGTAGATGGGCTGATCGGGCTGATCCTGGCTGGGGATCTTGCACAGCTCTTTGCCCAGATCTGCTGGCCTTGGTGGCAAAGTGGGTGGTGTTTCTTCATCCTCCCTTTTTGCCTCCTGCCATGAAGTGAGAAAGTGACAGGAAGATCACCTGCAAAGCATCCACCACAGGCAGCTCTTCCATGACTGCACAGCACCCAACACAAGGGAGCCCACTCCACTGCAGGTGCCTTTAGTGCTACCATGACACAAATGGAGCGTCATCCTCTGCACAAAAGGGAAACAGCTGAGCCATTAGGTCTGTGCTGAACTGGCACCTGAGATTGCTGTGAAGACCCTCATGGCTCATGTATTTGAACCTCTCTCACATAATTAGCTACAGCTCACTGTACTGCCACTGCACTGACCCACTCCAAGAGCCCATCTCACAGTGTAAGGTGCTGTACAGCCATGTCCCATCACCACCTCCACATTTCCCCCCTCACTCCTTCCAAAGCCTCTCCCCAGCTGTGGCTGCACCCTACTTCTTCCTGTAGGGCTGCCGGTTAAAGCACAGCCCCTCTCAGGTGCAATCTCTTCTGCCTGCTCCCATTCCTGGCTCTCCCCAGCCCTCCTTGGCACCTGTTCTCCTTGTGACACAGGCCTGTCTTGGTCAGCACTCCCGGGCACCCTTGCTGGCACAGTGGCAGGGGCTGCCTCTGTGTGGTCCTTCTCTCTCTGTGGGATTTCCTGCTGGAGAAAAGTCATGAGAACCCCTCCATCCCTTTGAATTAGGTCCAGAGCAATGTCCATTCACATTTCCAACAGAGCAACTCAAAAAATTTTCCTTCAGCTGAAATCTGTTCCAGCTCACAGAGCAACTCTCAGTTTTCCTCCTGCTGCAATCTGTTC